CAAAAGAGACTAAGTGTCTCAAACTTTACCAAAATCATTCCGGATTTGATCCGACCACCCGATACCACATAACACGGATACACAAAGCATAACGAAGTAGAAATGGGGGAAACAGAGCTATAACTCATGAGATGACTGGCCGGGTCGTCATATCCTCCCCAACTTAAACAAATGTTCGTCCTCGAACGAGTCAAGAAACATACCTGAAGCCTCAAACTGGTAAGGATATCTGCTCCGCATCTCTCGCTCGGTCCCCCAGGTAGCCTCCTCCACAGGCCGACCTCTCCACTGCACTTTCACTGAAGCTATATCCTTTGACCTCAACTTTCGAACTTGACGACCCAAAATAGCTACTAGCTCCACATCATACGTCAAATCATCATCCAACTTAACCATGGTGAAATCCAAAACATGAGACGGATCCCCAATATACTTCTGGAGCATAGAAACATGAAATACCAGATGCACACTCGACAAGATGGGTGGCAAAGCAAGCTCATAAGCCAACTCCGCAATCCTCCGTAGCACCTCAAAAGGCCCAATGAACCATGGACTCAATTTACATTTCATCCCAAATCTTATAACACCGTTCATGGGCGAAACCTTCAATAAACCTTCTCTCCAACCATGTAGGACACATCCCGAACCTTCCTGTCAGCATAACACTTTTGCCTCGACTGTGCGGTACGAAGCCTCTCCTAAATCACCTTCACCCTTTCTAAAGCATCCTGCACCAAGTCTGTCCCCAATAGCCTAGCCTAACCGGGCTCAAACCAACCAACTGGAGATCTACACCGCCTCCCATACAAAGCCTTATATGGAGCCATCTAAATACTCGACTGATAGCTGTTGTTATAAGAAAACTCTGCAAGCGGTAGAAACTGGTCCCATGACCCTCCGAAATAAATGACACAAGCACACAACATGTTCTCCAATATCTAAATAGTGCACTCGGACTGCCCGTCCGTCTGAGGGTGAAAAGCTATGCTCAACTCAACCTGAGTACCCAACTCTCGCTGCACAGACCTCCAAAGCTGCGATGTAAACTGAGTGCCCCTATCTGAAATGATGGAAATTGGGACGCCATGCAAAAGAACAATCTCCCGGATATAGATCTCTGCCAAACGCTCTAAAGAATAGGTAGTACACACAGGAATAAAGTGCGCGGACTTGGTTAGCCGATCCATAATCACCCAAATAGCATCGAACTTCCTCAAGGTCCGTGGAAGTCCAACAACAAAGTCCATAGTGATCCTCTCCCACTTCCACTCTGGAATATCCATCCGTTGAAGTAAGCCACCCGGTCATTGATGCTCGTATTTCACCTGCTGACAATTGAGACACCGAGCTACAAATCCCACAATGTCTTTCTTCATTCTCCTCCACCAATAGTGCTGCCTCAAATCCTGATACATCTTCGCAACACCTAGATGAATGGAATACCGCAAGCTATGTGCCTCATCCAGAATCAACTCCAGAAGCCCATCCACATTGTGCACACAAATCCGGCCCTGCATCCTCAACACCCCATCATCACCAATGGTCACATCTCTGGCATCATCGTGCTAAACTCTGTCCTTAAGGATAAGAAAATGTGGATCATCATACTAGTACTCTCTGATGCGATCATATAAGGAAGACCGAGAAACCACACAAGCCAAACCCGACTGGCCTCCGAGATATCTAACCTCACGAATCGATTGGCCAAGGACTGAACATCAACTACAAGAGGTCTCTCCCCAATTGGAATATATGCCAAACTCCGCATACTCACTACCTTTTGGCTCAATGCATCGGCCACCACATTGGCCTTTCCTAGATGGTACAATATAGTGATATCATAATCCTTAAGCAACTCCAACCATCCCTGATACCTCAAATTAAGATCCTTCTGTTTGAACAAGTGCTGGAGGCTACGATGATCAGTAAACACCTAATAAGACACACCATACAAGTAATGTCTCCAAATCTTCAACGTGTGAACTATGGCAGCCAACTCTAAATCATGAAATGGGTAGTTCTTCTCATGGGGATTCAACTGACGAGAAGCATAAGCAATATCTCTACCCTCCTACATCAAAACATAACCAATACCAACTCTCGAAGCATCACAATACATGGTATATGAACTTGAGCTGATGGCAGAACCAACACTAGAGCTATGGTCAAGGCTGTCTTGAGCTTCTGAAAGCCCTTCTCACACTCGTCCGACCATACAAACAAAGCATCCTTCTTAGTTAACTTGGTCTAGGGCGATGCGATAGAAGAGAATCCCTGAACAAAATGGCGATAATAACCCGCCAAACCAAGAAAACTGAGAATCTCTATGGCCGAGGACGGTCTGGGCCAACTCTGAACCGCCTCTGTCTTCTTTGGATCAACCTAAATACCCTCGCTGGACACCACTTTCCCTAATAAAGCCACTGAACTGAGCCAAAACTCACACTTGGAGAATTTTGCATAAAGCTTCTCCTCTCTCAATCTCTGCAACACAACTCTCAAATGCTCCGTGTGCTCCTCCTGACTACACGAATACACCAAAATATCATCAATGAAGACTATGATAAACGAGTCAAGATAAGGCCGAAACACACTGTTCATCAAATGCATGAATGCTACTGGGGCGTTGGTCAGCCCAAAAGACATCACCAAGAACTCATAATGACTATATCGGGTCCTAAAAGCTATTTTAAGAATATCCAAGTCCCTAATCTTCAATTGGTGATAACTTGAACGGAGATCATTCTTGGAGAACACTCTCGCTCCCTGAAGTTGGTCGAATAAATCATCAATGCGAGGCAAATGGTACTTGTTCTTAATAGTTACCTTGTTTAATTGCCTATAATCAATTCACATCCGTATAGTGCCATCCTTCTTCTTCAAAAATAGAATCGGCACACCCCAAGGTGACACACTATGCCGAATGAACCTTTATCAAGGAGTTCCTGAAGTTGCTCCTTTAATTCCTTCAACTACACTGGTGCCATACGATACGGCAGAATAGAAATGGGCTGAGTGCCCGGCACCAAGTCAATACCAAAATCAATATCCCTATCCGGTGGCATGCCCGACAGGTTTGTAGGCAGCATATCGAGAAGATCCCTCACAACTGAAACAGAATCAATACTGGTAGTCTCAGCACTGACCCCCCTCACAAAGGCTAGATACAAAAGACAACCCTTCCCAACCATACGCCGGGCTTTCAAGAATGAGATCACTCTACTGGGAACATAATCAGTCACACCTTGCCACTCAATCCGTGGCAAACCCGGTATAGCCAATATGACTGTCTTATCGTGACAGTCAAGAATAGAACGACACGGAGATAGCCAATCCATGCCCAAAATGACATCAAAATCCACCATACACAATAATAAAAGATCCACACGGGTCTCCAGACCCCCAATAGTCACCATACAGGACCGGTACACATGGTCTACAACAATAGTATTGCCCGCTGGGGTAGATACATGAACATGTGAAGCAAGAAACTCACGAGGCGTACCCAAATAACGAGCAAAGTATGATGACATATAAAAAAAAGTGAATCCGAGATCAAATAATACAGAGGCATCTCTGTGGTAGACTGAAACAATACCTATAATAAAAGCATCTGAAGCAATAGCATCGGGTCTGCCTGAAAGTGTGTAGAAACGGGCTTGACCGCCACCTAATCAACCTCCCCCTAGCTGACTGACCTCCACCCCTAACTGGCTAGGTGGGTGGTGGTGAAGTAACTGGCGTTGACGCTGATGACTGACCCCTCTACTGAGATGAGCTCGCAAGATGACGAGGGCACTACCTCCACATATAACCCATCTCACCACACTTATAACAACTCCCAAGTGCTGGAGAAGGGGACTGAAGGGAACCCCTCACACCGGAGTGACTAGCAGATGCACTCAGCATAGAAGAGCCCTTAAATGATGGAGCACGGGACAAAATCTGAGTTGGAAGGGCACTAAGTGATGACTGACCCTGATGAGAACTATGAGAACCATGACCCTATAATGCCCCACGATAACCTGGGTGAGATGGCTGAGCATGCCTGAATGGACGACCTCTGCGCTGGAACTGACCTCTCGAAGGAGTACCACTATAACTACCAGATCCTCGAGGCCTCTTAGACTCCCTCTCCTCTCGTTCCTGGCGACGAACAGACTCAATCTCACAGGCAATATCCACAACCTCCTCGAAAGTAGCAACAATCACCCTCTCTCTAGTCATGAGAATACGAAGCTGATAAGTGAGGCCATCAACAAACCTCATAATCCTCTCTCTATCTGTCGAAACCAACCAAATAGCATGACGAGCTAACTCGGAGAACCTCATCTCATACTGCGTCACAGTCATCTCTCCGTGACACAACCACTCAAACTACCTACGAAGCTCCTCTCTGCGAGACTGCGACACCTACTTCTTTAGAAAGAGGACGGAGAACTGCTACCAGGTAAGGGGTTATGCACCAATAGGCCTACACCTCTCAAAAGCCAAATACCAAGTGAAGGCAGCTCCAGAAAATTGATAAGTAGTGAACGCGACCTCGCTAGTCTCCAGAATACCCGTTGTATGAAGTATCCTCTGACACTTGTCTAACAAATCCTGGGCATCCTCGCCCTCTTCACCACTGAATGTTGGAGGCTACAGTCTACCAAACCTCTCCAACCTAAGCTGCTCATCCTACGACATAGAAGGAACTACATAGTCCTGAGCAGCTGCAACCAGCTGGGTTGGATGTGCCCCCGGCATCTAAAGTCCCTGCACAACCTGCTCAGGTGTGCGAGCAGTGGGAGTCTGATTGCCTCCCCAGGCTTGAGAAATAGCTGCGGCTGTAGTGGCTGAAACCGCTTGAGCTAGGCCAGTGCAAACTGATAAAATCTGAGCCAAGGCCTCCTGAAGACCTGGTATCACAATGGGCACAGCTGGTGCCTGAGCTGGTGCTGCTGGAGCGTCCATAACTGGGACCTGATCCTGAACTGGGGCTGCTGGTGGATCTGTAGGTGCTGCCCTAGCTGCTGTACGGGCCACACTTCTTCCCCTACTGCGACCACGACCTCATCCTCGGCCTCTGGTAGCCACAACTGGTGGTAATGGTGTTCATCCATCACGACTGGTAGTGCGTGTCTTCACTATCAGTGAGAGAATAGAATAACAAAAGTTTAGCACTCGGATCAACAAATTCGCACGACAAGAATTTGAAGAATATGAAGTTTTTCCTAAAGGTTCTGCAACCTCTCGAGGATAAATACAGACGTCTCCGTACCGATCCGCGAGACTCTACTAAACTTGCTCATGACTCGTGAGACCTATGTAACCTAGGCTCTGATACCAACTTGTCACGACCCTAAACTCAGACCCGGTTATGATGGCGCCTCTCGTAAAGACAAGGCCATCCGGTACTTCCCATATCTAATTATTAACAGTTAAACCATAAGAAATAAATCTAAAGCATGATAAGATAATCCAAAGTTAATAGATAATAGCATAATTTGCGAAAAATAACCCAACACAGCCTGATACCGGGGTGTCACTAGTCATGAGCATCTAAACAATCCGGAATAATCCAAATCAAACTACAGAGTTTAATACAGAAACTAAGAACATGAAGAAGTAAGATAAGGAAGAGCCGTGGGCTGCAAATGCCAACAGCTACCTAGAGAGTCCTCGGATCCGCCTAAGCCGAAAATGATCAGAACTCGGAAGCGAGACCAGATACGCCTGAATCTGCACACAAGGTGCAAGAAGTAAAGTGAGCACTCCAACTTAGTGAGTAATAATCATAAATAAAGGCTGAAAGCAGGAAATCACGTAAGGCACAAAAGCATGCTATAATGAAACAGTAAAACCATTAAAATAGTAAACTCGTGAAAGATCGGTAAAAATCCTTTAACTCAAATTTAACTTCATGAAAAGCCTTTTTCAACAATTAAGCATAATTTGACAGGCAATTAAGAAAAGATAAACAAATAAAGGTTCGCCCCTCAGGCACCGTGTCAACAAATTCGCCCCTCTAGCAACATCTCAGAATAGTAACAGCCCCTCAGGCAACATCTCAGAACAATACCATCCACTCGGGCTCAATCTCACATCACAATGGGTACCCACGCTCACTGGGGGTGCGCAGACTCCTGGAGGGGCCACTTATGGCCCACTTGTGGTATCATCACTAGGCTCTCGGCCTCATACCAATCAAGCCACCTCGTGGCATACATATCTCAGGCCCTCGGCCTCATAATCATAATCAGTGTATCACTGCTGCAGTGTGTGGCCTAACCCAAAAGTATCCTCACAGCACAGGCCCTCGGCCTTACTCAGTAAAAATCACATAAGCCACTCGGGCAAAAGTAAAACATTCTTCTCAGCCCAAAATATCATTTAAAAGATCATTTAAGTGTTAAAATAGAGTAAACATGGCTGAGTACGAAAATAGTGAAATATATCAGGACTAAGTTCAAGTATAAAGTCAAAATAGTGAGGAAAAATCAATAAAAGCCCCCAAAGGGTTCAAATAGTTGGCACAAAGCCCAAATATGGCATTCAACCCAAATAATGATGATAGTAGATTAATTTCAGTCAAATACGCGGTAAAACAGTCATTCGGGACGGACTAAGTCACAATCCCCAATAGTGCACGACCCCACGCTCGTCATCAAGCATGTGCATCACCTCAATATAGCACAATGATGTGCAAGTCCGGGGTTTCATACCCTCAGAACATCATTTACAATCATTACTCACCTCGAACCGGTCAAATCTCTAACTCGCGACGCCTTTGCCCCTCGAATCGGCCTCCACTCGCGTTGAATCTATCCAAAATCAGAACGAGGACATCAAAATATGCTAAGGGAACGAAGCCCAAGCAAAAATAATCAAAATACGACATAAATCCCAAAATTTCCAAAACCCAACCCCCGGGCCCACGTCTCGGAATTCAATAATTTTTACATATATAGGATCCTTATCTCCCCACGAGTTCATACATATCAAAAGTTTTGATATCCGACCTTAAATAGTCCTTCAAATTTTCAAGCAAATGTCTAAGTTTCCAAGCCCTAGTTCTTCATTTTTTGGCTTAATTTCCATGATTATTTAGGTGAAATTCACATTAGAATCGAGTTTTAAGTCCAAGAATTTTATATCCAAGTGATTCCCCTTGAATCCCTCTTCATCCCCTTCAAAAAGCTCCAAAAACGACCAACAATGGAAGAAATAAACCCCAAAATTGCGGACAAGACGAGTATTTAAACATTCTGCCCAGGCCTTAATTCCTTCTTCGCAAACGCGGTCAACGCCTCGCGTTCGCGAAGCACAAAAATGACATTGACCAAAAATCCTCTTACGCGAATGCGACATGCCCATCGCGAACGTGATGGTTCTTTAGAATTACTCTTCGCGAACGCACTCCCTCTCTCACGGACGCGATGAACAACTCGACCTCAAACCCAACAGACCAATTTCTTCTATGCGAACACGCTCCCCTTCTCGCAAATGCGATGCACAAACATCCAGTCCTTCGCGAACAAGGAGCCTTCCTTGCGAACGCGATGGCTAAAATATCTGCCTTCTCAACTAACCCTTCGCAAACACGAAGGTCAATTTTCAGCACTTCAGCAGTTTTTCTGCAATTCCAAACAACATGAAATGGTCCGATTGACCACCCGAAACTCACCCGAAGCCCCGGGGACCTCAACCAAACATGACAACATAACCCATAACCTCATTCAAACTTGTTCCAACCTTCGAAATGCTCAAAACAACATCGAAACACCCAATTCGCATAGGATTCAAGCCTAAGAATTCAAAAATCTTCTAAATTACGCTTTTGATAAATAATCCAACCAAACCATGTTCGAATGACTTGAAATTTTGCACACACATCCCAAATGACACAATGAAACTACTGCAACTCTCGGGATTCCATTCCAACCCCTATACCAAAATCTCGCCTACCAACTGGAAATCGTTAAAATATCAACTTCGCCAATTCAAGCCTAAATCTACTCCGAACCTCTAAAGCTCATTCCGATTGTGCTCCTAAGTCCCAAATCACCTCCCGAAGCTAGCCGAACAATCGGAACTCACATCCTAGCCCTCTAACACATAAGTCAACATATGGTTGACTTTTCCAACTTAAGCTTCCTCAAAAGAGACTAAGTGTCTCAAACCTTACCAAAATAATTTCGGATTCGATCCGACCAACCCGATACCACATAACATGGATACACAAAGCATAAAGAAGCAAAAATTGGGGAAACAGAGCGGTAACTCATGAGATGACTTGCCGGGTCGTCACAATGATAAATAAAAGCCTATTATAAAAGTTGTTCTAAGCTCGAATTCTTGAACCCTGAATCGGAAGTTCTGGGTTTTTATCCCCGGTAGAGTTGTCAGAGCTTTCACACCTCCTTTTTTCCCATCCGATGGGTATATAAGAGAGTTTTTTCAATTAAAGTGACATTAATCAAAATGAGATTATTTATTATATTTCAGATTGGAATAGTTTATTTGCTGTCCCAATTCACCGGTTTATTTTAAATCTCAAATCGAGGAGAATTTTGACTTTATTTAAAAGTGTGCGAAACCAGAAATTCTATGTAAGGAATTCTGTTAACCCGGGAGAAGGTGTTAGGCATTCCCGGATTTCGTGGTTCGAGCACGGTCGCTTAACTATTAATAATTGGCCTATTATCTAATTTACTACATGTTTTAAAGCTATTGTGGATTTTATCTTTTGATCGCTTTTAACTATTTATGGAATTATTCTGGAACAAGTTACGATTGTCATACACTTGTTTGTTATATAAACATTGCGAATCGTGTCACGGGAACTGTACCCATGATCTACAACATATTTAATTTAATAGCGTTATTAGAAGTTGTGGCCAGGTCACATAAATGTACCCCCGGATTTGGAAATTATGTATCATAACTATAGTACGGGAACCGTACCCGTAGCTATGATAATTTTATTATAAACGTGCCTAAAGCAAACTACGAATGTTCAAAGTATTTTCTATACTAGTTATGATATTATGTGAAGGCCATAGATTATGAGATTCATTTGTGAAAGGGATGCCTCGATTTATTTCAAAATATTGTACTCAATTAAAGGAAACTACGGATAAGTGTGTTCAATACGTTTATGATTATTGTTAGGCAAAACTACTATGGAAAGGCATTGAACTGAGGAGGTGATTTGAGTCCTTAACAAAGCGCGAAGACATGTTTCAATGTTTAGTATCTTACAGAATTGAGGAATGATCAAATCATTGATAACCTAAGACATGTGAGACTAAATAACGTAATGGTTGTTTAAAGCTAAATAAATGTCAGGTGAATATTTGAGATTGAAATAGTTTGATTCCAACAAAATCTCTTGCGATTTTTAATTGATCAAGTGTAAGGGGCTAAAGAATTTATAGGGCCACAATTACTGAGCACGACAGTGGAGTTTAAAGAGTTGGGCTCCGTTTTAGATAAATCCAAGTTGAATTAAATGTCCTTACTTCCGTTTGAAGTCTGGCCCAATTGCTCAGCACACACATTATCTTTCAAATGTAGCTATCTACTAAACTCATACATATTACATACAAGATATTTAAATTTCCACTCATATGTGACCGAAAATATGAACTTGAATAAGATAGAATGCTGAATTGAAATTATATACAGGTCTGGGCTATTCATGAAGTTTCTACTATTGTGAAATCACTCATTACAGAACATAATTGATGTGGGGTACCTTTTGAACTTTGAAGCTAAAATAAAAACTGATCTACTATACCAGAATTTAATCTTTAAAGAGAACATATCAAACTATTCTATTAGAACTTCTAGGTAATTGATAGCCTAATGAACACCTGCCTCTTGTGGACATGATTTATCCATCAAAGCTTGGTCCAACACATGAAACCACCAGTTTCAGCATGATATCAACAACATAATTTCAGCTCTTATCTTTTGAACCTGCTGATTTGGCTAACTAGTGGCCAAATCCATAGGTTGTTGCTCATGGTTAGCAAAACAAACCCCAAATGACCTCAAATAAACACCATATTATTCACCAACAAAATAAGAAGGGAAGGAATGACTTCAATAAATAATATTCATAATCAAGGTTAATATGAAGAACATTTAGCCAAAGAAGCATCTTCAAACAAGGTTACTTTCAAGAGGAAAACTACAAAGCATCAATGTATTAACCAGGCTACTCATACCAGATTAATTCAAGCTTAAACTCACATAATAAAGACTAATCAGATCCATATCAATGTAAGCTACAACTAACATGAAATGATACTCATTTTTCATGTATAATTTGCAGCTTTTGGTCTTATATTACTTAAACAAGCAGTACATGAAGAAGGCTGAAATCAGTACCTTAAAGGAACAACAAAAACCAGCAACAAAAACAACTGAAATGCTGGCTGAAACTTAAAGATGGAGCAGAAACAAAAAACCCAAACAACAGGAGTCAAGAATCAACCCAGAAACCAAGAAACAACACCCAAACTTCTCAAGAATCAAAGTATTTGAGAAATCAACCTAAAAATCTAACTCGGAAAGCTGATGCTTTTTCCAGAAAAATTTAAGGATTTTTCTTTGTATTGTGAAATTTTTTAGGTGCAATTATGCTCATAAAATCCCTGTGAGAATGGGTGAATGCTTTTCTTTATATAGAGTGGACATAGATGACATCAAAATAGAATATTCTAACCTAAATTCTGAAGTGTCAGAATAGTACAACATCTTTTGACAGCTGTATGTCCTTTTTCCCACCCAATTTCAACATTTGTTTGCTAAGAATGGGGCAACTGGACAAAGTGCTAGATCCTTCTGATTTTTAGCTTTATGTAAAACCAATTTTACCCTTTATTTACTAGATATTTCAAACCTAACAAGTCATGACCCAAATTCTGATTTTAAAGACCCTTATGAAACCTCCTAAACATGGTTTCAAATGTTCTTTTAATTCCAAAATCAGTCTTAATCTTAAGAGCATTCAGGGTTTAAGCTAAAAAATCTAAATCTAATTAGTAAATTAAACAGGCTCACATAATTAACCTAAAACAAAATTGGATTTAAACAACTAACACATCTAAAAAATAGACAAAACAAAATTATAATGAAACTGCAAAGAAACCCTAGAAATTAACCTACTCAGTTGGTAAGTTAAACAATTTAATCAACTAATTTGTTTAACAGCTAACCAAAAACAGCTCGTTAATCAACTTGAGTAACATTATTCTAATTAACTTAAACTAAACACTGAGCATAAAATAAATAAGCATAAGACAAAAATATGAAAGAAATAGGAAAATCATTCTATTTATCAAACCTAAAAGTTAACTCTAATTAAACTAAATTTATGCAATTTGAAATTAAACTTCAAATACTGAAATTCTAGCATGCTTTAATAAACCTACTAAACAGATGCAAATAAACAAGCTAAACAGCTGGGAACATGAGAAAACCTATGCGGCTAAAAGAAAGAAAGAAGATGAAGGAGATAATCAAAAGATGAGAGAAAAGAAAAAAAAGAATGGCAAAGGAATTACCAAAACTCGCCTCAAATTTGGACCAGTCAAGAACTTGGACATGCTTCATCGGGGTAAAATGAACTTGGATGACCATTAATCGACTGTTCTCAACAAGAACAATCGACTAATGGAAGTCTTGGTTTCAAACAAACCAGAAATTGCCGGAAATCAAAAAGGGAAAAATTAGGGTTTCAGATCCAAGATTCGAGCGATTTGAGAATGATTTGAGGGAAATGATTGGGGATTTGGAAAGGGGAGGGAAAGATGGTTATAGGGTGTTACTTTGGTGGAGTTTGGAGGTGGTCCACCGCCGTGAGGCGATTTCCGGTTGGCGGACCAGGCAGAGACGACGGGGGTTAAAGGGCGGCTAAAGTTAAGGTGCTGAGAGAGGGAGAGAAGAGAATGAGGGTTTTTTTGGTGTTTGGGGAAGGGGTCTGTTCGGACAGTTATAAGGGAGGTGGGGTTTAGTTCTGGTTCGTTTGATCAAGAAAGATCAATGGCTAGGATCGCCGTTACTAAAACGACATCGTTTTGATTAATGGGGGAACTGGACCGGTATTATGGGAGTTGGGTTGGGCGAAATGGGCATTGTATTTGGGCTAATTTTGGCCCAGCACATTAAGACTAAAATCCAATTCTTTTCCTATTTTCCTTTCTCTTTGTTTTCTTTTTTTTTTCTTTTTCTTTAATTAATTAAAATCCTAAATTAGTCTAATTTGCAAAATTAAAGTTATTATCTAATTATAGTATTTACAAAAATAGTTAATTATAAATTAATGAAGAGGAAATTAAAATCAAAAACTAGAATGTAAAAAATGAGCAATATTTTTGTGATTTTAATTTTGATAAAGCAATTAATTAACCAATTAATCCTAAAAATATGAATACAAAATCTAATATGCAATGCATGATTTTTTTGACATTTTGGGGCATTTTTTCATGATTTTAACAAAATTAAACGTGCACAAAAATGCAAACAATTAATAAAATCCTACAAAACTCCTATAAAATTGCAATTAATTTGGAAAAAATCTATTTTTTTAATTTTGTAGGAGTATTTTGAATAGGGCAAAAATCACATGCTCACACTCTCCTATCCCTCCTTTTAATATTTTTCGTTTCTATGTGGTGTTTGTTGATCATTTTACCAAATACACTTGGTTGTTTCCCATGAAAGCTAAATCGGAAGTTAAGGATATATTTCTAAACTTCACATGCATGATAACAAATTAGTTTCATATGTCAATTAAACACTCTATACGGATGGAGGAGGCGAATTTTTTGCTTTGATGTCTCTTATGTTGAATCATGGCATTCACCACCTAATAAGTCCTCCTTACACTCCGCAAATTGTTGGTACAACCGAAAGAAACCATTGGTATGTTGTTGATACAACTCTAACCTTGCTTCACCATGCATCTGTACCCCTCAAATTTTGGTCCCTTGCCTTCCAAACTGCCGTTTACCTTATCAATCGTCTGCCCACACCTCTACTAGAGTCGCCAACTAATTTTCTCAAAATGAGGATATGCCTTTATGACTTATACTCTTTTATAGTCTCAAGGCATGTTAGCTCTTATCTTTTCCTTTACTTGACTATAGACTATGTCATCCTGTCATATTACGATATACCGTTACTACCCTTTTATCACATCTTACTCGTAATGATTCATTTACTCTCTTCTTATTCTCTTGCTAATGTCTCTGTTTATTCCATTATTCTAAAACTTCAACAAAACATTCTTTCACTTTTATCTCCCGTTGCTTCATCTCACTTGCTCTTCGGGTCACCTAATATTCTCTTTTTACTAGGGGCAGGAATCATACTAAAATAAATATTTATCCCTTCTAGGATGCCACTACATGTCTTCTAATATTTTTGAACATTCTTGTATTCATATCTGACTATACTATTCTAGAGTGCACCATCTAGTATGCACTATCCAATAGGGCCTCCAACAGGGCCACGTCATCAAGAATTCTGTCTCTACTAATGCCCTTACTTGCTGCTGTATTAGCCCTCTGGCTAGCTGTAATTTTTCAAATTGCAAGCATCTCTATAATTGGAAAATATAAGTCTTGGCTCGAACTGTTATGACTCAGCTCTATAGTACGATGTTGTCACGACCCAAACCTATGGGCCACAATAGGCACCCGATACCTTACTAAAATGAGTACAAACATAACGTATCTTTCGTGTCATACTATCATAAGTAAATGAGCCAAAAGGCTGTCATGAGATAACTAGAATAAATATAAGAGAATAATTGATATAGAACGACCCAACCCGATATTGAAACTTATACACGTGACATACGGGCCTATAAGGCCAATATGATCATTTGTAAACTCAAAACATAGGCCGAAAAGGCCATACAAGTATCCGTATACATAATATCTGTCTACAGGCCTCTAAAAGTACATAAGTATCATAAAGGCTAGGACTGGGTTCGCCATACCAATCAATATATGTCCAAATTATGCTGACCAAATAAGCTACTCCGGAGCAAATGGAGCGCACCAACACCTTCCGCTAAGCTGATAGCCTACTTGGAGGACTCTCAACCTGTCTATCAGGACCTGCGGGCATGAAAGGTGGCATCCCCAGGCAAAAGGGACATTGGTACAAATAATGTACCGAGTATGTAAGGAATGAAAATAAGTAAACAGTAGACATGAAAGAAACATGGAGTAAAAGACTCAACTTGTAAGCCTGAATAACTCTGTGAATCATTAATATTTATAATGCCATGCATATGCTTATAAATATCATACCATGCATAGGTATATGCGTACATAACATCATCAAGCCTCTGAGGGCATCCCATCATATCATCTTGGCCAGTGTGGGAAAAGTCATCAACGTATACCAGCTGATCAGGTGGTGGTGCGTATATAATGCCGTAATCTTTTCCCATATCCCATATGCATATAATATACATATATCCACGTATATAATGCCATCTGGTCATGATTCAATGTAAATTAATGCAATGCATGAGAAGTACGTCAATAAAATCTCTTGGAATATCATAAGACCATTATTCCTTTGATTAATATCATGGAATAAACTTTACAAACTTACGTAATTTTTGAGACACATGAACAGAAGATAGAATAACAGGAAACACGAGGAATCACGAACATATGCACCTCTAGTATTTCTATGAATAGAGTCATTTATGGAAGTTGTGCATTTGCTCATTTTGTTTGTATCGTATGGATCATGCTAAAAGGAAAGAAGGGATAGCCTTAACATACCTGAGCCGATTCTCTTGACAATATTTCCAACACACGTTAAACGCGACAAAATATGTAACGACGGATCGAAGTAAGGAAAAATCCGTATGATATCCTTGAGAAAGACTGTACCATGCTCTCTTAGCATCGAAATTTCCATTGCTATTACCTTATAAAGTCTCTTATGACTTTGTTATAGCTTCATCCATAACTTAGCAAATCTTAGCATCCCACTTTAAAACTCATGAACCATAGTACTAATTATGAATGGGGCTTTGCTTACTATAAGAAAAGGAGTCCATAATTGCCGTTCAATTTTTTTCCTTCTTAATAACCTTTTTCAACAAAAATGAGATAAGTTGGTGCATATATCCTTAACTCTTGCCACCTAAATAAACTTCAATGCTTAGCAAGCATGCTTATCCCCAAAATGGGACACCACCGTATCCTTCATACACATTAGTCATACTTTACTTTAATTGTCTTGGTCCCACTTGGACAAAATAACTCTTACACTTATCCACGTAAATCAATAATTAACCATTTACCCACATAATTAAGAATTATATCAAATTACTTAAAATACTACTCACTTTTAACACACTATATATACCTTACTATAATGGTCATGTAGTACCTTGTATGTCACTAGTCCATCAATACTGGGTATTTTAGCTCGGGCCGTATTGTATCACAAATTGACAACCTTCATCGAAATTCATTTTGTTTGACTTGTTTACCCTTTTACATTTACTTATCACTTATTTGAAATAGCATAATACATATAATCTCAAAATAATCTCATTCCCGAGCTTACGTCGATTATCTTACGACGAAACTTTAACATACGAAAATGTGGGATGCAACATTTCATTTCCGAGCTTTGATCAATTTACTTATGGCATACTTTAACGTACGAAAACATGGGGTGTAACATCATTCCCTCCTTTGGAACATTCGTCCTCGAATGTTGACTTTTGCACTTATCATTATCATAACCTATAGCTCTTGCGTATACTTTAGTACTCTCCTTGCCATCTAGGCAACTGTTCTGTGAATAGATCCAAAGTCTAGGGCATTTCCCTCTTTAGTCCTCTTTCTCACACCACGACTTGTGGTCGGAATCCTTCCATTCTCGTAATTGTTTCTACCTTATATCATGCAGCCTGTACTACTCTGACCTTGTAAGTGCGCCTATGCGACTCTTCTCTCCTTTTTCCTATAGTTTTTAGCCAATCTCTAGGCCTCACTTTGTATATGTATACAGATCTTGACAAAATGTCCCTTTGGGCATCTATAGGTGTACTGAAGTTCTTCGCTCGGTACTTTGTTGATCTTACGAATATTGCTATATCTTATTTCATAGACCGGTTATCCATTCGTATGACTTTACTGCATCTAGATAGGTCATACTATATCATAACTTTTACTTTGATTTATCGTTACTGAGGTCTACTACCAAACATCAGGTTACTCTGTTGCTTCTTATCATATATGTATAAATCTAAGTCCTTAATGCTTCTTCATTATTGTTCATCTTAAGAATGATGGCCTATTCTCATCCCATACTTTGTAACTTTTATCCATCCATTGTTGATTCACCTCAATGTTGATCTGTAATCTATTACTGATAACTTGAAACCTCTTACGTAATACATTGTCACCAGGGCTTACGTCTTATCGGGGGATATCTTATGTGACTTGCCTAATCCACATAGGGGCGATACTATACTTCAATAACCGTATTTCATAGCATCCTAATGTGATTCAGCTTACGTAGGTATTTTAATCCCGTACAATTCATGAATCCCTTCTTTTTTCCTTCAAATCATTACTCAATCGAAGGCCCAAACATCATCCTTTATCTGTCATAATTACACCCTTATTCTACTATTAGGGCATCATTCCATCTCTTCTAAATGCTACTTATGATGAGTAACTCCTTTAAGTTCATTCGGGCTATACTGAGCTTTCTATAACTTAGTGAAACCATCAGCTCTCTTGTTTTCATGAGCTTAATCCTGAGGACTTATCCATTCTCGTCACCCTCTCACTTGCCCTTTGTTATCCTTACTCCAGTATTCCTAAAACATCGTCGCTTTACCATACTTTAGCTTGCGACCTATGCATATCTATTTATACTACTCGCAACCTCCCTTCAACTTGCTTTCA